TCTCTTCCCTGCGCACCTGACCCTAGCGTCGGCTTCGCAAAAGAAACGATAAAACCCGGCTTCCGGCGAGCGGCCGCCGAGACCCTTTTACTCACGCTCGATTAACCATTTCACCGTCACGCTAGGATTCGTACAATTTTCAAAAAAATTGTTTCGCGTGTTTTTAGCAATTTTTTCCTTACTCTCTGTTAAAACACGAATTAAAATAGGTCTCATTCATAAAAATTGGCCAAATAGAAGAAAAGTTTCAATATTCAAAATCCGAAAAATCAACAAAACCTCCACCTCCCCATGCAAAAAATAAAATGAAGGGGGGAAAAAAGGAGATGTATACATTACAATTAAATATAATTGACCTCAGAATTTGACAAGCAATTCCATTATATAACGGAAAAAAAATTGGGAGTGATTACAAAAAATCGCCTCTTACAAGGGGCTTCCTTCTAAGAATTTTGACCTGAAGACAAGGGTCGAATACTGCCGTGCTAAGGAAGAACGCCTTAAGAGCATTCGTTTGTTACCAAATTTCCTTCGATAAAATGTTTATTTTTGAGGAAAATTGTACATTTTTTCCTTTGAAAATTGCAGACACTTTAGATCAAATTACAAACAAAATTATCTGAGAAATTGGTAGAAAAATATTCAAAAATGTTCCGATAAATTAGTGATTTGCCTGAGGAAATTTGGCAACGCCTGAAGGCTCATACAGCGTTTTTCCTTAGCACGGCAGAATAGCAGCAGTACTCCATACAATACACAGTGTGCCTCAACGAGTCAAACATGTTTCATATGTCCAGATCAAAAATTCATTATATTTTTAACTACAGTGTCTCTTGAGTCGTTTAAGCAAAAAAAAAAAAAAAAAAAAAAAAGAAATTCCGTTGAGATTCTGCATGGAACGTAAAGGCGCTTTAAAAGTATTCTGGGGCTATAATAGCTAAATCAACGGTAGTAAATCCCGTTATATTATTAAAAAGAAATTGACTCCATAGTTTAATGCCTTAGTTTCTTGAATACGATTATTTTAAGCCTTCAAACATTTATACCACCAGTTTTAGCCATGAGGTAATTTCCTAAGGGCCGATAATATGTATCACGAATTTCTCATAGAGCCCTTCAAAAATGGCTTGCTTTTTGGGCCATCGAACTGGGGTTTAAATTGAAGCTGATAATTACACAAAGCTCTGAGAAAAATTTTGAGATGAGTATAGGAACGGTTTGTAAATAAAGAGGAGCGGCAGGCAAAGTGGCTAAAATCCGATCTAATTTTTGCCGTTTTTCTGCGTAATCGATGTTGCCGCGGACTTCTAACTGTGTCCACACATGGTTTCTCTTCAGCGTATCGATACGTAGGTATTTTTAGACAAAGAATCTAATTTTCACGTCAGGGAGTGGACATACTTTGATTTTTTCGATTTTATATGGAAAATTTATGGTTTTTCAGGATTGAAATTACTTATTGTAGTTACATGAAAAATAAATGCACCTAAAATGACTATAGCATATGGGCTTTTACATATGTGCACTCACGAAATTGATTCGTAAATTCAACGAGTGGGTACATTGACCTGGTACATCAAGTTTCTGCGATATTTTACGGCAAATCGGTAGATTTTCAGGATGTAGATCTCTTACTTTCGATTCATGAATAAAAAAAGCATGGACATGGTTGAACTTCTTTGCATGGAAAGACGCTTAAAATAACAAAATCAAGACATATTTAATGCAATTGCATTTATATCGAGTCAATTTTTTTTCAATAATAATATAACAGGATTTATACTACCGGTGATTTGGGTATTTTAGCCCCAAAATACCTTTAAATAGACTTTATCTTCTAGGAGTTCGACAGAATTTTTCCTTCCTTCGCTTAAATTATTCCGTAGCACTTTTCTTCAAGAGTCTGGTAAGATTTTGTTTTAGGCAGATCAAAAAAAAATTCGTTTGAATAGCTTTCTAGATTCACAATACACGGTCTCGTCAAGGTGCGTCGTTGACCTCGCAGTATTGGATCGTGAATTCTCTTGTTGTGCTGCTTGCCTATTTTGCAATCTCTGCAAATGATAACTAAAGGGGTTGATATGTGCGAGTTAATGACGCGTCTTATCAACACATTGTGTTGGAGTTCACTGCTTGTTTTTTATTGCGTCATTCGAAAGTAGTAAGTGACTGAAGCTTGGTTTTTTTCCTAATTTATTTTGATGCCTGCAAACGGGAGCAAAGTTTAATTGAAAGTGCCAAAAATTAGAGTGGCCTAAAACGGCGTTTGAACCGCGCGCTCGTAGGTTTCGAATGTACATGTCGCGATCAATATAGCGATGGAATGCATCGTGGAAGAAAACACGGCGGCGTCGCGTTGGCGGTATGTTTTTGTTGGTCAATTGGAGGTTGTGTAGGTTACTTTGTTTGAGATTCATACCCATTGTTCTTAAATCTCTAAGCTTTTCAATCAAAATGCGATACAGATTTATGTAGGATATGAAACATTCACACAGAACTTACTTAACCTCAAACGAGAAATCGTGATGTCAACAACGGCAGCGTGGCGGTAGTAAGCAGGTTGGCTTGGTCGCCGCCATCTTCCAGTCTATGATGCATAGATTCGAAGATTCACGGCGGTGATCGGTTCAAACATATTTTCGAGGACCCCTAAAATGGAAGCGTTATATTTCCGCGGAGATAATTTTTCGTGAAACATCGAAACATATTTAAACGTGCACATCGTTCTTCTCGTACCAAAAACTGTAAGATTCGACTATTTGAAGGAAAATCCCTCCTGAGCTTCACTGACTCATTATTAAAATAGGCTATGTGCCAGAATCCTGGAAGACTGCAGAAGTAATTGTTATCCCGAAAGCAAATAAACACATGGAAAAGGTAGATTCCTACAGGCCGATTTTATTACTGTCAGTGGTAAGTGAACTCTTTGAAAGGGCTTACTTAAAAAGACTATTGCCAATTTTTGAAGGAAGACAGATAATACCAAGTCACCAATTCGGTTTTAGGACGTCAAATTCTATCATAGAACAAGTGCACTGAATTGTGAGTCTTATAGAGAGGAGATCGGAAAATAAAGAGGTATGTTCGATGCTTTTTTTAGGTATTTCAGCAGCTTTTGATAAAGTCTGGCTTCTGGGTTTTCTCTACAAAATTCGAATTTGTTTACCATTTAATCATTATAAACTAATCAGATCTTACCTGGAGAACAGAAAATTTAGAGTTAGATTTAATAATTGTTATTCAACATATAGAAGAAAAAAGGCAGGAGTACCCCAAGGATCATGCCTTGGCCCATATTTATATAATATCTTCACTAGCGACATCCGAAAACCAAAGAGGGGCTTTATAGGCACTTTTGCAGATGATACTGCCTTCGCAGAGAGAGACCAAGACATTTATATTTCTAATCATAGATTACAAAAAGCTATTGATGAAATGTCTGGATGGGTTTCTGACAATGGCGCCACCCTTAACGCAGGTAAATCTACTTATATTGTTTTTACAAATAGGAAAATACCACAATTACCAGTTCTTATAGAAGATGAACAAGTTCCTTACGTTACAAGCGCTAAATATTTAGGAGTTTATTTAGCCTCTAGACTTACTTATAAAGATCGTATTAGAGTCAAGGTGAAAGAATTAAATAAAAAGAATAAAAAAATGTATTGGTTGTAAGGCAAAAGATCAAAATTGTCGAAGAAAAACAAAATTTTACTGTATAATCAAATATCAAAACCAATATGGTAGTATGCTTCACAACTATGGGGTTGTGCAAACAAAGCTAATATGAATAAGGCAGAGAGATTCGAGTCGAAGGTTCTAAAAGCAATGGGCCTGCTGCATGCAAGAGATACAGCCGTGCGAATAGACTTTATAGAGGTTAAATGACACGAAAATTACAATGGTCGCATTAAAAAAGTCTGAAATACACTCCTTACTGCGCAATTTGCGTTGTAAGGAACGCGCTTTTTCAAATTTCCCGCGTCGGGGGGCAGTTTTCTAACAGAAACAATTATCGGCAACTCGCGGCTATTTCCAGTCAACTAAAACTGACAACATAACCTAAAAATCGGAGCTCGTGATAACGTGAAATGAAATGTAGGAGGCTTGCGTTGGATATTTAAAAGTTGATCGATTTGGTTACCGCATAAAGCGTTTATGGACCACTATAAGAGATCACGTTGGGTTTGTAAACAAACTGATGGAAAAAATAACAACAACAACGGCTCGGCATCTTCCGGAAATCACCGAGCGCGCCGTTTGCTCGTTTTCGGTGATTAGAAAACTGCCCCCAGGCGCGGGAGATTTGAGAAAGCGCGTTCCTAACAACGCAAATTGCGCAGTAAGGAATGTATTTCAGACTTTTTTAATGTGACCATCGTAATTTTCGTGTCATTTAACCCCTTAATAGTCTATTCGCGCAGCTGTATCTCTTGCATGCAACAGGCCCATTATTGAAAGTACCATGGTTCGTGGAGAACGAAGACATAAGGAGAGAATTGGAGGTACCCACGGTTAGACAAGTAATTGCTGAGACAATGAAGAGATATGAATGTCGTCTCGAAAACATGTCAATGAAGAGGTTGTAAACGTCTTAGATAGTACAATATTAGTAATAAGATTAAAAGTTGGGAGACCTTTAAACTCCCATTAAGATTTATTTTTTAAGTAGTCTGTAGGGTATGAAGGAAAGTGTGAATGGAGTGCAAAAGGAAGAATGTGAAACAATTAAACTAAAAACCTTCATGTTTTAATATCTCTAAAAAAGAGGGCACAGAATTTTACAGTTCCTGTTTTTTTAGATAATTATTGTGTTATCTAATGTTACCCTGTAAAGTTAATGCAATTTTTTTAGTTTTAGTTTCAACCCATGTAGATAGATATGAGGAAATTTTAAGTTAGTTAGTTTAGTTAGTAGCTGTGATATATTTAAAAAAAATTCCTTTAAAAAAAAAAAAAAAAAAAAAAAACCGGTAGGCTAAAAGACACTATCTGCTCACCATATTTCTATTAGCTATATCAACAGTTTGGAGTTCCTTTGAAGTAGTATCTCGGAAACCATCTTTCACATTGTAAACTGAGAAGTGTGCCATTGACAGGAGCTGGTGATCTATTTGACACCGTTTCAAATAAAATATGATAGCACCCAATGCTTGAATACCGAATTCACAATGGCTTTCTGCAGTTAAAGGAAAAGAATCCCCTGAAACAGACCAAATCAAACTATTAGTCGAATGAGAGAGAGAAAAATACCAACAATAAAAAAAACCTGTCAGAAAAGCACACATCGATAGTGAGACTGTTAGATCATGTGTCTTAGAGAATCATGGCAAACTTCCTGTCAGAATTTACTTGTAAAGACATTAATAGCCTGAGATGCGGAATGTTGCTAATAGTATGAACTAACCAACTTATTAATCACCTGTATTTTTAGAAAACTCCTCCAATTTTTCTTTTCTGGAAGTAAAATATTCTGCGAATATTTCAAGATGTGTGATTGGTTCTTTTTCTTTGGATAAAGTCAAATGCGAGCAGAGATTATGAAACACCACAAACAAGAGACACCTTTACGCAGTTTCATCATTGACAATTACTCATGACTATAAGTGGCTATAAAGAAAGCATGGGCACATTGGCTGCCACTTTAGGGGGCAAATAAACCTTTAAAAAATGGTCCCGAAGAGGTCGAACCCATTTCTACATCTAATTGTGTAATGCTTTAGGGAGAGGTGAGGGGAGCCGCGGAGAGCATTGCGCCATTTTTTCAGCATGTTAGATCACACCTGTATGACCTGTATCACAAAACAGTTATGAGGAAAGGGGGGTCAAATATACCGAAAACGTCGCACAGTGCGTTGAATGGTGACAAGAATCCTCCTAAAAATGAAAGTCGAAATTTTCCGAAAAATTATGTGGTGAACGTTAAGCGGTATATCTGGCAGCACTATTGTCAGCGATAGTATCGATTTTTATCCATACCTAGTGCACAGGTGGTCGTTTTCAGCCAGTTCTGAGCTCCTGATTAGAAGCCGATTGCAGATGACAACAATGAGGAGCATCCTGATCAACAGGCTTCAGTGTCATTCTATCCTAGAGTACCTTTATAGACAGAGTATGGCCATTCGTATCTTTTTACTACAGGAAAACTGTTCTGCTTTTTGATTGGTCAACGAGTTTTTAGGCTTCATGATGCTCTTAGGGCCGTAAATAAACAAACAAAATGGCGGCTCACCTTAACATCGATGAGAAGCTAAATTTCACAAAAATCTCAATTATGCGGCAGTAACAATTTAAACTAGCATATCTACGAATAGCACACGAAAAATACATGAAAACATGGTTAAATCGCCTTTCACCTTTATCACAGGAGGATGTAAGATGTGCATAACCTCAATCTTGCTTGCTGATAACAGCCATCTTGTTTGTTTATGTACGGCCCTAAGAACATCGTGTCAGCCTATTTTCAAGCGACCGATGAAAAACCGGAACAGAAATGGCCATACTCTGTCTATGAAGGTACTCTATTCTGTCCTTCCTGGCAGCTTCATTCCTACTGGTAAGCACTCTTTATTTTTGATTTTTCCAATTTGTAAATCCTTTTTTTTTTTTGTGGCGAATATTGCATTTTCAAAGACTGCTCATTTTTAACCCTTTTTTCCACTCACTAATACTTTCATGAAGTGGCAAAAAAAAGCATTGACAGAACTTGACCTTTTGTGCACGTGGATATATTCAGTGGTATGTGTACTTTCAGAAAAGCAATGGTTCATCTGCCCGATGTTGCTCGTTCGGACAGAAATCATGGTTTCCTAGGAAAATTTGGCCATTTTTCAGGTGTTTTTAGGCTTTCATTCGACTTTGATTTAGAGTTCAGAAATTAACCTTCAATTTTCAAGACATTTTGCACTGACACGAATAGATATTACTCGAAATGGTGTAAAGAAGTGATAAAATTCATTTATAAGTGTCACATGATGCCAGCTCGCTCTAAAAAATAGCACATTTCTTTATTATTTGTATCCACGTATATGTATGCATATACAGGGTGGCCCAGACCTACCGTACCAGGCCTTTTTTTCGGTTAATTTGGGTCGCACAAAGTCCAGGATCGCGGGGATGGATAGGGAATCGACCCCAAGGAATCCGAATTTCATGGTCCCAGAGCCCCCCTGGCGCCCCTTGGTGGGTAAAAGGGGGTCTGTACTTCAAAAGTCAGGGTAAATGTCAAAATTTTGAATTATTTCATCGGAATCAGAACGTACGGAAATTTTTAACCTGAATCGACACCAAGAAATCCAAAATCGGACCATCCGGGTCCAAAATACCGACCCCTAAAGGTGGGGGACAGAGCCCCCTTTCAAAAAAAATCAAGTTCGTTAAATTGACGTGAGGAGTCGGAAAAAATGTATGTTCATAGGTAATCGACCCCAAGGAATCCAAATTTGAGGGTCCCATTGTCCTCAGACACTTTTCTGATGGGGCACAGGGGGTCTCTGAACTTTCTAATTTAACCGGTGTGGAGGTTACCCCTGTGCCCCATCAGAAAAGTGTCTGAGGATAATGGGACCCTCAAATTTGGATTCCTTGGGGTCGATTACCTGTGAACATACATTTTTTCCGACTCTTCACGTCAATTTAACGAACTTGATTTTTTTTGAAAGGGGGCTCTGTCCCCCACCTTTAGGGGTCGGTATTTTGGACCCGGATGGTCCGATTTTGGATTTCTTGGTGTCGATTCAGGTTAAAAATTTCCGTACGTTCTGATTCCGATGAAATAATTCAAAATTTTGACATTTACCCTGACTTTTGAAGTACAGACCCCCTTTTACCCACCAAGGGGCGCCAGGGGGGCTCTGGGACCATGAAATTCGGATTCCTTGGGGTCGATTCCCTATCCATCCCCGCGATCCTGGACTTTGTGCAACCCAAATTAACCGAAAAAAAGGCCTGGTACGGTAGGTCTGGGCCACCCTGTATATGAACTTATTCCGATTAAATTAACCTGGTTTCCAAAAACTATTGATATGATTATATTAAATGGCACGTAAAATAGGGGAAATTTGAAATTTAAGTAGCTCAGTGTTGCCTAATTTCATAAAAACTTTCATTTTCGCAGGGCTTGTTTCTACGTTCTTTTAAAGTTTCATGAAGTGGCAAAAAAAAAAAAGATTGACAACTATTGGAATTATTTCAATGAGGACATATTCAGTGGTATGTGCACTTTCAAAAATTAAAAATTCAGCTGCCCGTAGCCCCCCGTTTGGACAGAAATCATGATAATTTAAAAGAATTTTACCATTATTCGGGGTTTTCTGCCTCTTGTTTGGTTCTTGAGTCTTGCGAAAATGGGGGTTTTCATGAAGTTTGGCAACACTGAGCTACTTCAATTTCGAATTTCCCTATTTTACATGCCATTTAATATATTCATGCCAATATTTTTTGGAAACTAGGTTCATGTAATCGGAATAGTTCATATGTATGCATCCATATACGTGGATACAAATATTAAAGAAATGTGCCATTTTTTTAGAGCGAGCTGGCATCATGTGACACTTAAAAATGAATTTTACCACTTCTTTACACCATTTCTAGTAATATCTGTTTGTGTCGGTGCAAAATGTCTTGAGAATAGAAGGTTAATTTGTGAACTCCGAATTAAAGTCGAAAAATGGCTACAATTTCCTAGAAAATCATGATTTCCGTCCAAAGGGGCAACATTGGGCAGATGAACCGTTGATTTTCTGAAAGTACACATACCACTGAATATATCCACGTGCACAAAAGCTCAAGTACTGTAAATGCTCTTTTGTGCCACTCCATGAAAGTGGAAAAAAGGGTTAAAAATGAGCAGTCTTTCAAAATGCAATATTCACCACAAAAAAAAAAAGGATTTAAAAATTGAAAAAAACCAAAAATAAATAGTGCTTACCGGTAGGAATGAAGCTAACAGGAAGTAAAACGTAGAAGTTATGAGAGATACAATTAGAATAATTAAGTTAGCTCGCATTTCAATAAAAAAAAAAAAAATTATTTTACGTTCTTTAAGGTTTAAAAACCAGTAATGAAAAAAAACAAAATATGGCAACACAGCAACGTTGAACTATTTTTTCTCTCGGTAAATTGACGTATTTTGAAAATAAGCACTTGCTAATTTTTTTTGGTACGAACTTGAGATTGACATCCTATTTTTCTCTGAGAGATCTCAAGCTGAAAGGGTTTAATCCGATTTCCCCTCAAAACGGGGCCCAAAAACCCCTTTAAAATGTTCTCCTCAAAAAGTTCTGTTTGTCGCAAGATAGAACGTACCAAGAAGAGCAACTCACCGTTTTTTCATGAAATTTCAACAATTTTTAACGGAGATATCGATTTTTGACGCTCGTCCCCTAGTAATCAACGCACTGTGCGTTGTCCGTAATTTATGAACGCTCTCTGACTGTGTTGGTCTGCTGCTCTTTAGGATGTTCTCATGTTCCCTGCCAAAATTATTAGCATATTTGTTTGCAATTTTGCAAGTTTAATCAACATTTGGCATTTGGGAAAGAGAAAATAGTGCAATGAATCAGGGGTTCAAAAACTTTTCTTCCATGAGGCCAAGAAAACAGATTTCAAAATTGGGGAGGCCAAAGTGCACAGGACAAAAGTTGCTGATTTTCCATGAAATTGAGGTAAAATTCATGTATTCTTATAAAACCGCGGTGAAAATGACGGTTATTTTTGGGTAAAAACATGGTAAAGAGTACGTTGAGAGCAAAACATAATTGCCACTTTAAAATGTGAGGGTAAACGAGTTTCCAAAATCGGAAGGCCCCTTGGAAAAGTGAAAAGCTAAGAACTTTCTGCATCCCTGCAATGAAGCAACACGTTCCTAGGATCGCAATATCGTTCAATGGAGATGTTGCATGTATGAGGAATTTGCGATTGGACTATTGATTCTTATGGAAAAGTTCGGAAGAAACACGATGGTGCCACTGGTTTTCTCTGAAATCAACTCCCAAGCTTAGTGAAAGCTCTCAAGTTGTGTCCAAAATGGAGGGGATATCCCACACTATCCTGAGAGTCCACGTCTACATCAAGACAAACTCTCCATGCAAAGATAGGGAGCAAATACATTAGCAGGGTTGCCGTGTTTTCAGTTTGGGAGACCCCAATTAAAGTGGAGCCCTGTCAATGTATTTGCTCCCTATCTTCGCATGGAGAGTTTGT